CGCTATGGAACTAAATTCTAAAAATTTAATAACGGGCCTAAACACAAGCTCTCCACCAAAAAAGCACAATCCTGTTCCCTGGTGGAATCCCCAATGTGCGAAAGCCGTGCGTAAATGTAAACAAGCTTTTAACCGCTTTAAAAAACACAAATCTGAAGAAAACAGAATTCACTATAAAAGACTACGAGCAGTTGCTATGAAAACTATCAAAGCGAGCAAGAGAAACAGCTGGCATAACTATGTTGCAACGCTAACCAATAATACCAAAGTCAAGGAGATATGGAATAAAATCAACGCAATCAGGGGAAACCGGAAGATATGTGTTACTGCGTAACAAATATTATACAAATTTGTAAGTCGTTAAAATGACCTGTGACCTCTCAAGGTAACAAAAATTAACCACCCAGGTAGGGTAATTGAAAAACATATTTCGACGAAACCTTCTAAAATCATAAAGTCAAAAAGTTCAATAATATACATGATTACCCGTACAGATGCCATAAAAAAGGTCACCGGTTTACACACCTAGGAAAGTTAAAAAATTTACAATCTCAACCGCCCTAAACATAGAAGCTCCAGAGAACTTACCTGAGGCTAACGGTAGTCCCCGCCAAATGTATGTCATTTCCCCAAACTCAAGAAAATTTCGAATCACCAATCAGAACCGTTGTTAGAAAAAGCCCCCACTATAAGAACAAGTTAATGTCGACAGAAAATTTTGCGAGAAAGCTCAGATACAAACATATCAGCATACGAACAACATTAAAATAATCTTCTACGTGCCGTCCGATAAAATTTACAAACTTATACTTTAAAATATTCATAGTTGTATTAGTAAATATAATAAGTGTTACATGGAACTTTATCATAGTATTCATTATCCAACATTTTCAAATATTCACTCGCCGTGAAGTCTGCGTGTGAAGTGAGCATTTTCGAAAGTAGCTTTCAATATAAAAATTAACTATTTTGCTCACGAGTCAACACTTATTAAAAGGTACACATTTTGATAAAGTACGTTTCTTGAAATCAGCATTGATTTTCATAAAAATAAAGAATAAATGTGTGTACTAATTTATGTTTCATCATTTGTATATTTAGTCTTTAACTTCATTTTTAATTTCAAAGTATGTGTACATTATGTGCCGGTAGGTTTAGTGTTAATACATGGTGCGTTCCATAAGTAATGCGAAGGAAATTCCTGAGCCGCTCCTGTTGGTCGGAAGGGGATCGGACCACGTGCGTTAGATGCGGGGGACCCTTAGCTTTCCAACGAACGCGGTCCCAGGGCTCTCCGAGCTGTGAAAGGGACAGGACGTTAATTTTTGTGACCCCCTGTTTGGTGACCGTGTCACGGAGAAAATGGAATCGACGATCGGAACAACGATACGCGATA